TGCTACTTCTGGTTTTCGGGTGGTTAATTAAATTCTCTCAGGGACTTTGTTGTCTGGGCTGCTTCCAACCATGATCCTCAGATCTCAGCCTCTGAACAGATGGTATTACAGGCATGACCCACCAGTGTCTGGCTTATGTCAATACCTTTACAAGCTGAATTTAGCAATGTTTAAGAATTTCATCCCTTGGGGCTGGGTGTTTAGCCCAGAGGAAGGGCGCCTGTCCGGCACGTGCAAGGCCCTGGGTTCGGTCCTCAGCCCTGGAAAAAAAAAGAAGAAAAAAAAAAGAATTTCATCCCTTTAATCATTTCAGTACCTCCAGATATTTCATGGAATGAAAGGCTTTGCCTACTGTTAAGTGTTTTCAGGCATGTTTGAAAACGTGTTGGAGATGTGGGCTGGCTGGCATACAGTGAGGAGGAGGAAGGAAAGTCTTCTAGAATATTCTAAGCTTCAGTGTCCGGTGGGTCATTCAGTAACACACAGATTAAGGCAACCACTCCATCTGTGAATGACAGGCTATTTCAAAAGAGAAGATTCAGCTCAGTTTTGGCGCCTGCTTGGCACTGGCTGGTTGGGTCCGCTTCCCTGGGACATATGGTGGACCATATCTCCATAACTGTTCTCTTCACTGATCATGAACACTCTAGTAATGGAAAACAGACTAAACAGACTAAAACAGACCCAAAGTAAATTAGAAATGTGAAGGTAGAATCTGTTCTAAGCACAGACTCGTTGAGCAATTATCTCTGTAATTGAAAGCTTGGTCATCTTTTTTGGTTATGAAATACATTAAAAAAGAGAGTATTTGGGTAGCATCAGGTAAAAGCCAATGAAGAGGCTGTAAGTTGAGAGCTCCAGTGACTATATCTGTTATACACTGCACCAACATGCACACCTGAAGACGTGCATCTATAGTAATTCATGGATGAAAAGAGTTCTGGACAGGAGTGACTTTTACATGTAGATTCCTATCTTCTTCTCTTCCCATCTTCATCAAATAATACTGAAAGGAATCAAGCAAAACCAATTTGTTCTTCTGTATTTTATTAGGAAATTTATCTGATTTAAATTTACCTGACCGAAACGATTCTTTTCTCTAAGTGAGTTTTTATGTGTCCAATTCTGTGTCCAATAGAAATAACATAAAGAGCACAAGAAGAAACACAAATGCATTTTTAAATCAAAAGGCATAAAATAATCAAAATGCACAGATCCTGAAAGTCTATCTGTAGTGTAGGCAGGCTTGTCACTAATGGCTCTGTCAGTGGTGAAATCTTCTAAGAAAGGGCCTCATTTCTGTGAGAGGTATCTCTTATTTCCTAAGGTGATATTCAAGCACAATAATGGTAAGGAAACCAATGAGAGGACATGAATTTGGATTGAGGTCCTGTTCTGGGTTCCAACAGACCAGACAAGATCAATATAGAAGTACTTATGCTACATACTACACAATAAAATGGAAGCTTAAAAGAAGCATATAAATCCCAAATTGAGATTTTTCTGGAAATCAAGAGAGTCCGACTACCTGGGTCAGCATAATCGGGAAATGCCTTCAGACTCAACCCTTACTTAAAAGTAGGCTGATGTTAACTAACCCTTTTCTTGGTTATGTTTCCTAGTCCCTTCAGACAACTGAAAGTTCTGCGATTACACAAAATTCTCACTTCTCATTTTCTTTCGTAAGACAGAAACCTCTCTGATTCCTGATGGCAAATAGAAATCAATTAGAGACCAAGCACTGGTGGTTCATGCCTGTAATACTCGCTATTTGGGAAGCTAAGATCTGAAGATTGCAGTTCAAAACCAGCCCAGGCAGGAAAGTCCACAAGACTCTTATCTCCAGTTAGCCAGCAAAAAGCCCAGAATAGAAGTGTATCTCAAATGGCAGAGCAACAGCCTTAGTGAAAAAGCAAAGGGACAGTGTTCAGGACTTGAGTTCAAACCCAAGTACTAGCAATAAAATAAATTTTTAAAATCCCAAACCTCCAAACTCCTTAAATTTGTTATTTCATTTTTTGACAATAATAGAAGTGTCCAAATCCACCTAATTGTGTTTATTAAGTATGAGGAACAAAATAGCCTGTGTTCCAAGCCTGCGACCAGTGTTTGTCTTCAACTGTTACCATCTTGTCACACCTACCTCTCCTTCTGGTCCTGTATTGCATGATGGAAGAGAGAAATTTAAAAACAGCAATTGAGTTGGGTGCTGGTGACTCACACCTATAATCCTAGTTATTCAGAAGAGGCTGAGATCTGAGGATCACAGGTTCAAAGCCAAACTAGGCAAGAAAGTTTGTGAGTCTCATCTACAATTAACCAACAAAAATCCAGAAGCAGAGCTGTGGCTTACGTGGTAGAATACTACTATTGGGCAAAAACAAATAAACAAAAAACAAAGGGATAGTGTGAGGCTCAGAGTTCAATTTCTAGTACCAACATCAAAAAAGAAGGTGGGAGGGAGCAGTGATGTAGTCATCTGCTATTGTTTAATTACACTGGTTAAATTCTTGTTTCACATTAAATTGGGAAGCACTTTAAAAGTGCCATTTACATCATACAATCCAAGGAGGGGGATACAAGATGCTCCAGAAAAAAAGCACATTTGTTTATCAATGGGAGGTGGAAATGGAGCTGTGGCTCAAGTGGTAAAGTTCCAGCCTTCAGCAAAATAGTTAAGGGTCAGCGTCCAGGTCCTGAGTTCAAGCCTCAGTATCGGCATACGTGCGCGCGTGCACGCACACACACACACACACACACACACAAATGAGGGGAAGCAGTGAGCATTCTGAGATGCAATGCAAAGATGAGTTCATAGAAGGGGCTAGTTACAGTTAGCTGAAGGGAAAAAAGGAGTTGGTGCTTGAGCTGGAAAAGGCAAAAGATATTTTAAGTGAACACTTGAGGATAGTGTGAGCACTGGGGCTGAGCTTCAGGCATTGGCTGGGGAAAAGTGACGTTTCAAGACTAGAAAGCTTTCATATTCTTTTGAGGGGCAATGGAAACTGGTATCATGTGACTGGCTGTGAACATACATAGAGATGATTAAATGAGAGACCATCAGTTCAGCATGGAGACAAAATGATCGATAATATGCATGAAGAGGATCAGGAGGAGAACAGTATTTAAAGTCTTTGGGATTTCCCTTTCCTTCCCTTCCTCCTTTCTTCTCTCCTTCCTTCTCTCCTTCCTTCCCTTCTTCCTTCCTCCATCTATCTTTCCTTCCCTCTTCCTTCTCTCTCCTTTTTTCCCCTTCCCTCCCTTCTTCTTTCCCTCCCTGCCCCTTCCTTCCCTCCCTGCCCTTTCATTCTTTCCTCCCCTCCCTCCCTCCCTCCTTGCTACACTTCTTTCTTCTCCCTTTCCTTCCCTCCCTCCCTCCTCCTTCCTTCTTTCCCTCCCTCCTTTCTTTTGTGCTAGTTACGGGGCATAAACTCTGGGCTGGGAACTCTACCACTTGTGCCAAAGCTTCAATTCTGGCCTTTTGGTGGTTAATTATATATGAGTCTACTGAACTTTCTTGCCTGGGCTGGCTTCAAGCTGTGATCCTCAGATCTCAGCCTCCTGAGTAGCTAGGATTACAGGCTTCACTCACCAGTGCCTGGCAGAGGGCTCACTAACTGTTTGTGTAAGCTATCTGTGAATAACAGTCCTCCCACTCTCTTCCTCCTGAGATTATAGGTGTGCACATCTGGATACCTTTATTATATTTGAGTTGGCAGTTCTGAGATTATCTATGAATATCGAGGGGTGTGCTTTTTCCTCATTAATTATATACAGATAAGTCAAGTTTAAGGTGCATGATTTCACAAAAGGTGCAGGTGACTAATCTCATCCACGAGTGCCTTCTAATTAGCACCACCTTAAGAAATTATTTTCTCAATTGTAAGTTTCTTACTCTTCCAACTGTATTGTGAGATTATACTTTCAGTGATTTGAACAAAAAGAGGCATCAGAAAGGAAAACAAACTGTCCACACAAAGAATGTATTTCAGCTGGATATCTCCTATTGAGATATGATTTTAAAGCTCTCACCATTTGGAGCAAGTTCTTGGCTGTCGCTATTCAATGTATCAATTCACTGTGGGAGCCATATTCCACACACAGAAAAGCTGGAGCCTCACAATGAGAGCACAGAGCTTGCAAAGTGATCAAAAAGGCAGAGGTGGCCTTTCTCTCCTTTTCCTGGACGAGTCCTGGGGCTTGAACTCAAGAGTCTGCTGTCCCTGAGTTCTGCTTTGTTTCATTTGTTCACTCAAGGGTGGTGCTCTGCCACTTGAGCCATAGCGTCACTGCTGTGAAGCCATGAGACTTCACCAGAATGTCTCTCTGGTACTAAGGTCATAGGGGCAACTATTGGTATGTGTTTGTGCTTATAGCATTTGTTCCTGGAATTTTCAAAAAATATTTTTACAATGGCAATGATTTCCCTTTTCCCAGTTATTTTTGCATGAATCACGTGTTACTTTCATTTTTGTTTTTTCCATTTATTTAGTGAAGAGACCAGACCTAATTACTTTTTAATCTTACATAGGGAGTTAACCTCCAATTTTTTTATTATTATTCTTGGGGCCACAAAGTTTAACATTGGTAACCAAGGTTGTCTCATTCTTAGCACTAACTTCCACTAGGTTTGGCAACACCATTCATCCATGCATTCATTGATTCATTTATTGTGCCAGCACTGGGACTTGAACTCAGGGCCTCCACCTTTTATAAGCTTTTACTTGTTTTTTATGCCCAAGTCTGGCACTCTACAACATGAACCACTCTTTCACTTCACTTTTTTTTTCTGGTTAACCAGAGACAAGAGTCTTACAGCCTTTTCTGCCTCGGCTGCATTCCTCAGATCTCAGCCTCCTGATTAGCTAGGATTACAGGCATGAGCCACCAGCACCTGGCTTCCTTATTTAAATAAAAGCATATACGTCAATCATTCAAAGTCAGTCCAAAGAAAAACAATTGATGTTTCACAAAAAGAAAAGAATATTGATCTTATTTATTTTAGGGTTTTTTTTGAGTGACAAATAAAGACAAATTTTAAAAAATGAATAGATTAATAAACCAGATGGACATAAATATTTACAATCAGGAAATCTTCATACCCCATGTCATTCATATATGAAATTTACAGTGCAAATAGTTATCCTTTTAAAGATTTTCATACATACTTAAAAACGGACAATTGAGTAATACAGTCATGTAACAGAGATTCTGTAAGATATGTGGGTATATTTTTTTCAGTAAAATAGTTTCATGCTTATAAAAATCACCCTAGGTCAAACTGGGACAAACAGAATAACATACAGTAGAAATAAATCAAGTAGGAAATAAGGTGTAAGTAAAGAAAAAAATATTACAAAGCCATTGACATTGTTGACACAAAAAGAAAAATAAGATACACTTTTCTATATTTTGAAGGCAATTCACAATCAGTTCCAGGAATTCTGTGAGAATTTAAGGCTGTTTGTGCTAAAGAAATGCTTGAATTGAGACGCAACTTCACAAAACCATAATTCTTGTAAAAACTGTACATGCAAAAACTCTTGATAATGAATTGTGGACAGGCAGGTCAGTATGTCAGAGTAGATTATTTCACAAATGTGCACTAAGTCACATGGTTTTATCTACTGCATTGGGAATTTCACAGAAGATTCCAGTCAGTACACCCTGTGTAGCAGTGTGAAAGGGTGATAACAAGAAATCCCAATTGAGAGAGCCAGTATCCCTTTGAATTAAAATATCTAGACATAATATAGAAGGGAATAAAAAGTTTAAAACATCTGCTACATGGTTGATAGATAAATGTTCTGGATTTCATGTAGTCATCTTTCTAAATAGCATTGCAGTAGAAGTATTTTCTGTGCATTGATAGGTCATGGTGTTCAACTTTTGAATTCGTCTACTTCGCTGTGTGGCAAAATATAAACCAACTGCAGTCTATATTTAGAATCCAAGCTCCATGAGAAAAAAAAAATGCTTGCTCTCGCAGGATACCTATCTGCTAAGCTAAAAATTCCCATACCTGGCAAACTTAACTGAGAAATGAATCCCTAAGCAGATGTGGCTCCTTGAGAAAATTCACTCAGTAAGAAATAAGAAAAGCATCTTACTTTCCTCCCTTCTTTGCAATTTTACTTGTCCAGACAGTCATTCAAAGAGATATTGCTCTTAATGTGAGTATCACTATTGCAATGTATAGGACAAAGGATTGAATATTCAAAACTCTTCTTCTTAAGAACAATTATAAAAGTATTGAAATTTAAAAAGTTAGTAACATGTAAACATTGATACAGAGAGACTGCTCCTACACATATAGCAGCCGGGGACAATATTCCCATTGAAAACATAGCTTGTGCTTTTTCCCAACGAATACATTGGAAATTAGCTGTTCTAAGAAAGAAAGAAAGAAAGATTCAGAGAAGACATCTGTTTTCAAGACTTTCAGCCACTGTGTTTCCCCTGTTGCTCATGCAACAAACAGCCATATTTACAGTTTTGGTTTAGGAGAAGAATGTAATTTTGGATCCAAGGAAGCACACGAACTAGTACTTCTGAAACCAAACTGAGAAGAGTCTCTCGGCTCTCTGGTTCACAAGGGAGCACCAGGCGCACAGCGTGGACCCGCGGCTCTGATGGATGGGGCGGTAACCATAGCGACCGGGGGGGAGCGGTAACCATAGCGACCTGGGCAGGCGCTCAGATCTGGGTCTGCAGCAGGTGCGTTGGAGGGGTGTAGGGCGGAGGTGCGGGCGAGGGCTTGATCCCCCTGGCCCGCATGTAGGACAGGAACTGCTCTGGAATCTCAGCCAGGACGTCTTTAGCCAGTCTGGCCATGCTCAGGATATGATTTCCACTTCGGTCGATATAATCTCGAAATGGCACAAACTGAGGAAAGGTGAGAGACTTTAGTGAGTCGTAGGGTATGTCACAAACATCGGCACACATTGACATTTGGGGGCGAAGCTCAGGGTGATCGTGAGATGAGAAAACAATTATGCATCTAAAAATACTGAATCTGTAAAATGTTGATCTAAAAAAAAATACGACAGTGCCCAAATGTACTGGGGTTCAAACTCAGAGCCTTGGCCTCTTGCTGACATGTTTTTCTTTCTTTTTTCCTCTTTTTGTTCATAGCGGACATTCTGTCACTTAAGTCACAGCTCCACTTCCAGCCAGCTTTTTGCTGCTTAATTGGAGACTTGCCTGGGCTGGCTCTGAACTGTGTTCCTCAAATCTCAGCTTCCTGAGTAGCTAGGATTACAGGAGTGAGCCACCAACACCTGCCTCACTAAATCTTTCTAATATATGCGTTACCTAAAAAGGGATGCAATTCTTTTCTAGGTTAGTTTGCAAATAACTCATGTGCGGGTTACCCATACAACATCACTACATGCCCTCTGTCATGTGGGATTCTCAGACCTGGCTGATGACACACAGGAAGGCCCATTTAACCCTCTGAACACTTGTTTCCTGTCAACACCTAACTGAATTGATTATGCAAAACTATTACCAAGTAGTACAATCAGTGAAAAACAGCACATATTATGGAAGAGAGCTAAACATACTGTCTTTATTTCACGTTTTTATTAGTATATATTAATAGTGGAATAGGGTTTTCATTTGATACTTTCATAGGTGCATACTTTTCTAACTAGTTCACCCTCCCTATTATATTTCTGGATCCCTCAGTTAAATTCCTTTAATCCCTGCTTTTCAGTGTTCGATTGTTGCGCAAATATCAAATCATATGGCCATGGAAAAACTCACATAGTCCCTTCCTATCAGGAGAATGAAATATTCAGTCAAGAGTCCAGATGTTAATATTTTCGTATTTCTGAATTGGGAAAGTAAAAGGAAGATGTTGGCATAAGCTTGTGGTGTGGTTTCTATTGAAATTTTTTTTCACATCATATAAAAATAATTACTCTGAGCAGACTGCCAGTGGCTCATGTCTCTAATCCTAACTAAACAGGAAGCAGAGATCTGAGGACTGAAGTATGAAGTCAGCCTGGAGCATACAAATCTGAGAGATTCTTATTTGCGATTAATCAGCAAAATACCGGAAGTGGAGATGTGGCTCAAGTGGTAGAGCACCATCCTTGAGCGAGAGAGCTAACGGATAGCACCTAGGCCCTGGGTTCAAATATCATTATGCATGCACGCGCGTGCACACACACACACACACACACACACACCACAAAATGATTACTTTGGTGTTATATGAGCATTTATGAAAGATCATTTAGCAGCTCAACATTATACTCTGGCAACAGATTGCCTGATTCTATTCATATTTATAATGGCTACTTAAGTTGTAAACACTGAGCTATTTAAAGGCATTAGTTAATTCCCCTTGGGGAGACAGTGAGTGATTTGTGAAGCAAGTGATTGGAATTGTTACTCTTCTGACAGTTTGAGAATGTAATGATTTTTTGGTCTTTAGAGAAAAAGTACAGTGAAGACATTCTAGAAAGTTGAACAATTTCTGAGTGGGACATCTGAAAACTGAGCTAAGTCATTTTATTTTTCTTCTGAGAAAGAGAGATTCAGAACATTCACGACTCTTATTGTAACTTTTCTTCTAACAAATTTTTTTTGCTTTTGATTCAAACAATTACTCAAAATGTGCTTGCAAGAAGCAGATGGTTTAAGGGAGTCTAGAAATGAGCAGGTTGTTACAGAAAACACAAGTTAAAATTTTAGTAAATCAAATAGGTGTAAGCTGGGCACCAGTGACTCTTGTCCATAATCCTAGCTACTCAGGAGGCTGAGATCTGAGGATCGAGGTTAGAAGACAGCCCAGGCAGGAAAGTCCATAAGACTCATCTCTAGTTAAGCACTAAAAAAGCCAGAAACAGAGTTCAAGTGGTAGAGCACCAAGCTTGAGCATAAAAGCTCTGAGACAGTGCCTGGCCCCAGAGTTCAAGCCACAAGACCAGCACTAAATAAATAAAATAAAAATTGAAGTTAAAATTTATTTTTAAGAATTTTGTGATATAATGTCAAAACTCTAGGTGTTCAGTGTTATCAAAGTACACACCATTCTTCTCATTAATAAAAACCTGCTTACACATAACATAAATTAGAAATCCTAGATTTCAGCCAAGGATGGGAGTAGATGTCACCTTTAAATTGGGAATATTAGATGAGGCACAGAGTGTGAATGTCAGGTTGAAAAATCTGTCACCTTCAATCATTGTGCCCAAAACTATAGTTCAGTGTGAGAACTTTTTACTCACAAAATCTAAATCCTCTCAATCATTTCTCAAGAAATTTTGTTTCTTCAGACATGTCTCAGAATGCTCTATCAGTGAGAAATGACCATGACAAACTGATCTTCCTTCTCTTTCCCTTTTATTAGTGTCAAATACTAGTTTCCAGAAAAAAAAATATGCCCTCATTTTTCCTGAAAGATGGCTTACAGCCCTCTCCTTTCAGATATTCCCATTCAATCTGTAAGGCCATTCTTTGCTTTTTTCTTGTTTAACATGTCATTTCTGAACTTTGTATCTGGGGACTTCTTGCTAAAAAAAAAATTTCATACGTGCTGTGAAGGCATATGGATCACAAATTAACTGGTGGCTCACACCTGTAATCCTAGCTACTCAGGACACTGAGATTGGAGGATTGTGGTTCAAAGCCAGCTGGGAAGAAAAGTCTGTGAGAGTCTTATCTCCAAATAACCAGCAAAAGATGGAAAGTGGAGCTGTGTTTCAAGTGGTTAGGACACCAGCCTTGGGCAAAAAGCTAGAGGTCAGCATAGTTCCTGAGTTCAAATTCTAGTACTGGCACACGGGAGGAGGAGCAAGAGGAGGAGAAAAGAAGAAAGAGGAGGAGGATGGAGACAGAGAGGAGAAGGAGGAGAGAAGAAGAAAAGGGAGAAAGAGGAGGAGGAGGAGGAGAAAAATCAATTTTCACTTCCTACTAATTTAACACAGTCATATAATGAATACTAATGTGCACATTTGGCTCTATAGAAAATATGGAACCTATGATATCTGTGATATTTTATATCTTCGTTTCTATCTCCACCAGTGTAAAGAAATAAGCCCATGGGTCTGCTCTACTGGCTGGTTCTGTCTATTGGCAAAACAAGTTTTGAATCTGTTTGGCCAAATGGGCTTTTAGTTCCTCTTTGGCTCTATTCTGTTTGACTGTTCCTACTGTGCAGAAATCCATTAGTGATTTTTCAACTGTAAGCTTTCAAGGTCATTATTCTCCCTTTAATGTAAAATGTGGTCTAAATATAATTTTTTAAGGAAATGATAAGCTGGCCAGAGGCTACACGGCTGCGTGAAATCATCATCAGAACAATGTATAATAATTTCAAAATTATTAAATCAAAGAAAAAATAGTGTTGGTTTATACATGGGGCCAGTCCATACCACAAACAAATAAGCAAAAACCTGTGCATGTATTGACTTAAGAAAATAAGTTGGGTACGTTTTAGTGTAACAATCTGGGAACTGCTTACTGCTTATAGGGAAAGTTGGTGAGACTGCATCTGGAAGCAGAAAGTTCTCATACACCAGGCAGATGATATTGTTTTATGTCCAGCTACTGTGAAATCCCAACATAAAATGTGCCTTTCCTCTCCCATTCAACTATTTGTAACCAATCTTATATATAACTGATGAAGGTGGATGCTACAGTATTTAGTGAATAGATATGTAGCATTGTTTACCCTAGCCAAGATATAGAATCAACCCAGATGCCGCTCAGTGGACTAACGGATCAAGAAAATGTGGCATATATACACAATGGAATTCTACTCATCCATCAGAAAGAATATATTCATAAGGAAATGGAAAGACTTGAAAAAATATGTTAAGCAAAGTAAGTCAGACTCAAAAAAAAACAACATAGATTGCAGTTTACCTCATTTAACTAGAATGTGTCTATACATCTACAAGTAAACACATTTTATGGTAAAAGATAAAAATTCACTGGGACATGATAATTATACAGGACTCTAGAGACATTCACACAGTGAGACCAGAAGAGTATATTCTTAGGAGAGGATCATAAAGGCTCAATAGTTATGTGCATATGACCACATAAAATGTTATTTATGGAAATTAACTCCAATAAATGGGAAGAAGAGGTATTTTGTTACTTTGTTGTTGTTTTCTCTTTTGTCACTGTTTTTGTTTTCTGTAACTTTTGTCTTGTATGTAAGTTTATCTGATTTGGGAAGGAAAGGAGAAGCACAGAAATGGAGGGACAAAGGGTGAGCAAATGCAGCAGTGGCACTCACTAGACACTATGTTGGAAATACACTTTACAACTTGTGGGGATGGGGGGTCGGGAGGGAAAAATTGGGAGAAAGGGAGGGAGAGAGTGACATTGTCAAAAAGATATGTACTTATTACCTGACTTATGAAACTGTAACCCCACTTTATATCACCTTTATAATAACGGTAAAAAATGTACGTTCAAAGCATTTCAATAAATTCATCACTTAGAAAAAAATTACAACTGATACTGACTTGAAGACACTGATTTGTTTCATTCGTTTTGGTGCTAGTATGGAGACTCAAACTCAGGTCTTGGACGCTGTCCCTTAGCTGTTTCACTCAAGGCTAGTGCTCTATCAGTTGAGCCATAGCTCTACTTTAGATTTTCTGGGGGTAAATTGTAGATAAAGGTCTCTCAGACTTTTACCCAGACTGGCTTTGAACTTCGATCCTCAGATCTCAGGCTCTGGAGTAGCGAGAATTAGTCATGAACAACCAGCACTAGACTAGAAGACATTGTCGCTGAATTATTGAATGGTATTCAGCTGAAGACTCAGTAACAGATCACATCTGATTTTCACAACTGCCTTATCCATATTTTGAATTTACATAGAAGAAAGTGGACACAGTTTAATTACCTTAGATCAGATAATGACAAGTATTAGTTATGGCTGGAACCAGAACTGATGTGACTGTTGATAGTGTCAGCCACTGTGAGAAAGGAAATCAGTCACCACAATCTGCTTCAGATTTCTGCCTTTGACAATGGTGCATTTATGAGAGTAAGGATGAGGGTTTGGAGTCAAAACTCTCTTGGAAATTTGGACTTAGCAATTTAAGGATTTACATAACATGGCAGGAGTCTTTTATACGTTTTTTAATTATAGACTAATTTCTTCATATGTAAATAGTTGTAAAACAAAGGAGCAAGCAGTAGCCAGGTGCCGGTTGATCATGCCTGTAATCGTAGCTAATCAGGAGGCTGAGATCTGAGGATATACATTCAAAGCCAGCCCAGACAGGAATGTCTGTGAAATTGTTTTATTGCCAATTAAACACCCCAAAAAGCCAGAAGTAGAGCCATGGTTCAAGTGGTAGAGCACTAGCCTTGAACAAAAAAGCTCATGGACAGTGTCTCAGGCCCTAAGTTCAAGCCCCAGGACTGGCACCAAATACAAAACAAAAAAACAAAAAACAAGCAGTAGCCAGGTGCCAGTGGCTCATGCCTGTAATCTTAGCTACTCAGGAGGCTAAGATCTGAGGATCTTAGCAGAAAAGTCTATGAGACTCTTATCTCCAAAAAACCACCAGAAAAACTGGAAGTGGCACTGTGGCTCAAGTGATAGAGTGCCTTGAACTGAAGAGCTAAGGGACAGCACCCACGCCCAGAGTTCAAGCCCCATGACCGACCAAAAACAAAGACAAATAAACAAGCACTGTTTTTAGAACAAATTAAGCAATATAAAGACAAAGTGAAAGAGAAAATGAGTTCAGGTATGGAGAGTTCAGGCTTTAGGAGGGCTTTCTAGAAGGAAGTTTCCAAATAGAAACTTTCCACCAATGGCTCCCGTCTGTAAAGTTAGTTACTCAGGAGGATGAGATCTGAGGATCCCAGAGTGAAAAGCCTAAATAGTTGTATAGTTTAAGTGGTACAGAACCATCCTCGAGCAAAACAACTAGGGGACAGCACCTAGTCCTTGGGTCCAAGTCCCCAGTAAAAAGAAAAAAACCAAGAATTATGGAAATTGCGAGATGGAAAGTCAGCCAATTTATTTCAACAAAGCATGTTATGTTTGAGTAAGTTTTAGTAAAAGAGGAAAACTGGAATGAAGTCATGGAGAATCTCAAATGCCATGTTTAGAACTAAAGTAATTTTTAGGATGAAACCCAGGGTCCCAGCTCATTAGCTGTGCATTATGGGTAGGAGAATCGAGCTTCATATTTGCATTTGCAAAGTATTAATCAAAATACATGCTTCCTAAGGTTAATTAATGATTGAGGGAAGTCCCGTTATGTCTCTCAGCCCGACTACCATACAAAACACTCAGCTGAGATAAACATCATTATGTAAACAGTTGTAAAGTATTAAAAATTTGGTATAATATTCAAAACTCAAGCCAGGTGCGAGTAGCTCACATCTAGCATTCTAGCTCCTTTGTAGGCTAAGATCCGGAGGATGGAAATCAGAAGCCAGGTGGGGCACAAAAGCCAAGACTCCCTCTTTAACCAGCAAAATCACGGGGTGGAGGCATGGCTCAAATGCTAGACACCGGTCAAGCCAATAAGCTAAGCAAGCTTAAGGCTCTGAATTCAATTTTTGTACTAACCAAAAAAAAAAAAAAAGAAAGAAAACCAAAAAAAACCTCTCACAAACTCCTTAATTATACTATCCCCATCTTTCTGCTAAAAAGCTACATACTAATATTTAGAACCCTGAACTTTTCATTTGTCAACTTGAGAAATCTAGAATTATATGCATGATAAAAATGAAAAAAAAAGATCATTTCTTTATTAAAACAATTCCCTCTGTGTGTCACTATTTCTCTCTGTCTCTCTCTTTTGTGCCAGTACTGGGGCCTGAACTCAGGATCTGGGTGCCGCCCCTGAGCTTTCACTCAGGATTGGTGCTCTAACCCTTACAGCTCCACTTTCAGCTTTTTGCTAGTTAATTGGGCTGTCCTGCCCAGCTTGCTCTGAATGAGCTCATCAAATCCCAGCCTCTTGAATAGCTAGGATTACAGGGATGAGCCACTGGCACCTGGCTACATTCTCTCAAAAGCTATATTATGGATGCACAGAAAGGTGATTACTTAAGATGATATGAAAGCCACTGTTTAGAAATCAAAACCTTTATATTCAATTTACATTTGCAATTGAGCCTTCTTCTTTCCTTTTCGAAAAAAGATACTTTGTAGCTTGTTCTCTTTTGGAATTCTAAAAATGTATAGGCACTCATAAAACTATGCGATTAAAATAACTCCTCACTTTTAATTTTACATTTTGAATGTGATTCCATTACTGTTCTCTTTCTATTTACCTTTCAATAAGTCTTTACTTAGGTATTTTTCTTGACTCTAAAATTTCTTCTGTGCAAATTTTATATATCAAATACAATTTGTACTACATGGATTACATATCATATATATATTATAGTTTTAAGATCTATTTCTCAAAATTTCTAACCATTTTCTATGCTGGAAAATATGAAAATAGCTATGATCATTTTGATGCATTGTTTTATTAAATGTATTTATTTTGTGTATACCACAGCTGTCCTGAAATTTATTTAGTTTTTATTGGGGACTAAATAATGAACATGAATAAACAGTGTTAATGAAAATTTCCATTACGAAACCAGGCACTGGTGGCTCAAACCTGTAATCCTAGCTTGAGGATGCTGAAATCTGAGGACAAAGGAAACCTGAGGATCCAGGTTTGGAGCCAGCCAAAGCTGCAAAGTCTGAGACACATCTCCAATTAACCACCAAAAAGCCAGAAGCTCAAGTATCAGAGCACCAGCCTTGAACAAAAAAGCTAAGAGCCTGAGTTCAAGACCCAGTACCATCATACACACACATACACACAGACACAGACACAGTATACACACATACACATACACACACACACACACACACACACACACACACACACACACACACACACACACACACACACTTCCATTATGTTCCAAGCTTCTAATTTCATCAAGGATCTTAAGGATATTTTCTGATAATAGTAAAATGGGAAGAGAAATTCATAAGCAATAGCATTTTATATGTGGTGAACTTAAAGATAAAAGTGACTGAATGTTGGTTTTAGCCCCTCTCATTTAACATGTCTCACCAACTAAGTTAACAGGTATGAACCAACTAAGTTAACAGTACCTAAAATGCCTGACTTCAACTTAATCTGCTTATTTACAAATAGGAACAGACATGAACTCTTCACAATGAATAAAAAGGACTATTGTTTTAACTGTCTTACCTGTACAATGTCCCGTTCAGCATACTTTCCTCTTGAGGAAACTCTTACATCATCCCCATCCAATTCAACCATTGCTTGAAATGAAAAATGACTTATCAGTACATCTACCTTAGTCAAATACTAAAACTGTAGGCAAGAAGAAATCATTAGGTATTATGCACAACAGGTTCTGGGTGATGACCAACAGTCTACAGCTATCTTCATTCTACTCATGACTCCTATAGGAGAAAACGAACCATGACCTTTATTGACTCTTTGAAACCCAGGTAGGCAGATCCAATGTACTATGAAACATTCTTTCACTATTTCTCTCTATACTGTTATTTTTATACTGTCCTTATTCTCAAAAATACTTTTATTATCTTTAGTTGTACAAAGGGGTTTCAATTCATCCTGTCAGGGAGTAAGGTGAGTAATGTCACCCTCCCATCATTCTTCCCATCTCTCCCACCCCACTTCTCTGGCATTACCTGCTTCCATGTTCACATACGTACATTGAGTATTATGACCACATTTGCTTATACCTCCTATATGTTTTTAACTTGTTTTATGTACTTGTTTGACTTTATTGTGCAGTTCGTTCATTAAATTCACATTTGTTTCCTTTCTACTTGAACTGTCTTGACAGAAATCGCCATGGAACTTTCAATAACAGGTTGTACTTCCCTCTTATTGAAAAAACAATGGAGTTGTGTGTGCATCCAGATCTCCCACTTTATAAATAAGTTATAAAATGATTGCATTTATTCTGTCCTGTCAACAATTGGTTAAGATGTGATTTTGTAAAGTATATATATATATATATATATATTTAGTTAAGGAATACTTGCACACTGTGAGATGAGCTAGTATTTGGTAATGCTGTATTAAAAATGGGACAGCTGGTGACATGTAACATTGTGTTGTGAATAAGGACACCTTATTAAGTTTCAGTGAGAATCCTCTAAATAATTAATGAAATGAGGGAGTCTAATTTGTGTTTAAAGTATAATTCTACTACTGATAATGCATTTTGTATATGCATGATGCTCGCCAGACTCCAAGAGAACCACTTGGATTAGAACACTTGCTTCTTCAACTCCTGAAAAGCTAACTATCCCTTGGCCAGAATACCATCGATACCTTTTTGCTACTTTTTTTCAGTCCTTGGGTAATGTATTTCAGTTAAAAATATTGCTTTCTATTGTATCTTTCTATACGTGTTCACAAATGAGTGCTCTGGCTGGAACTTTGCTAATGCACACAACTGACAGAATTGCAATCTGCCTGGATATACAATGTATGTTATAATTGAGCACTGCCAATAATAAGGTCATTAGCTTACTCAAAATATGAGACCTAATTTTTTTCCCTCCCATTTCATGAGGATGTAAATAGGAGGATCTAATATTTCCAATAGTAGCCAGGTGCTATTACAGGCTCACACCTGTAATCCTAGCTGTTCAGGAGACTGAGATCTGAGAATCCTTGTTTGAAGCAGCGCAGGCAGACCAATCCAACAGATTCTTATCTCCAATGAACGAGTAAAAAGCTAGCAGTGGAGGTATGGCACAAATGGCAGAGAACAAGCCTTGTGTGAAAACGCCAAGCACAAAAAAGAAAACCTGAGTTCAAATCCCAGTACTGGCACAGTGAGTGGGTATTTTCATCTAGGTTTTCCTTTACAGTTTTCATATTACCTTGAGAACTAATTATTTGTAATCGATGGTGACTTCCTAGCCATCACAGAAACTTCCCCTTTATGCCCTCCTCTACTCACAAATCACAGTAATTACGCTCCCCTAAAGTGGGAATAATACTATCACTTTCTACAAGCCTCTACAATCTCTACTGGTCATTGTGAGCACTTCATTCTCATTGATGAAGAAAATGACAGCAATGCAGATAATCTTGCATCAGGATGAGATGTTATATCTCCCACTTTTTAAGCATATCCTTTGAGTTTAAAAGGTTGCAGGCAGCAACAACTGGAATGTATTCTTTTGAGAGCAATAAGAGAGAGATGATGGGAATCCAGGCGCTGGTGGCTCACACCTGTAATCCTAGCGACTCAGGATGCTGAGATCTGAGGGTCGTGGTTTGAAGACAGGCCTGACAGGAAAGTCTGTGAGATTCATCTCCAATTAACCATAAGAAATTCAAAAGTGGAGCTGTAGCTAAAATGGCAGCGCGCTTTGAGCAAAAAAGCCAAGTGAGAGCACAAGGCCCAGAGTTCCAGTGAGAGAGGAGGGGGTTGGGGGGTGACACTAAATTAGGCAGATGAATTATTTCCATTTCTCAAGTTTTCAGACCATCTGGACCTCCAGGGGGCAGAGATTGTGAGCTCCATTTCTCCACCATTACCCTCACCAAAGAGACAGTGTGTGAGAGACAGGCACCAACTTTCTAGTCATGTAAGACATTACAGAGAACGCTTGCATTCACCCCTTCCCCTCACTTGGCTCAAAGCAGGCCACCAGAAGCTGCTCTAATGTCACTCATTGCCTTTGATAGGATACAGTAATCCTGCTTGGATATCTTTCTTCTTAATGAAGGTACTATATATAGAAGTGATAAAACACTGGGGAAAAGTATCAAGAGCACTTTAAGCTGGTTGCTTAAATTATAGAAATTCACAGGAATACCCAGTAATCTAATCATTTGTTCTCCTTCCTTCTCCCTTCAAAGGATTGCAAAATAGTGCATTTCTTGCACATGCAAACAACATTGTTCTGCTTTAAAATGTGTGGATGTAAAGCTGGGCATAGTGGTACATGTCTATATTCTCAGCACTTGGGAGGCTGAGGCTGGATGATCATGAGTTTGAAGCCAGCCTGGACTACGTAAGTAGATCCCATTTGGAATGAAAAGAAATAAGAAAAAAAGGGGAAGAAATGGAGGGAGGGAAAGTGAGAGAAGAGAGATAACAAAGAGAAAAGTAGAGGAAGTGAAGGAAAAAGAGAAGGGGTGGAAAGGGAGGGGAAAGGGACAGAAAAACAAATGGAAAATAAGACAGAATGAAGCAAGAAGGGAAGGAGGAGCAAGAGAGGGAAGAAAGGAACGAAAGAGGAGAGCAGGAGGGAAAGGAGGAAGGAAGAAAGAAAGGAAGGAAGGAAAAAAGAAGAGGGATCCAAAGAAGCCAGAAGAAAGATGCACAGATGAGTATGGCTGTGCTTAGCTGTAGCAATCTATTATACTGGATTTCCGTTTTTGTTTGTGTCTGTCAATACATGAAATACGAAAACCTTCTCCAAGGTAGGGTTGGAAGTCTTCAGAAATTCTGATAGAATTGCCATTTGTAAGTCATATTTTTTAATATAAAAATTAAACATTTTTTCCTTTTCCTCTTAACCATGGAGAAATGAGTTTCAACAGGAAAAGAAGAAAAGTATTTTAAAGAAGCATGTACTGTATCAAAAGTCAGCTTCTTTTCACTGCTTAATCCCAATTATAAAGTTGTACACTGATATAAAGCTGATATGCTAATTGGAGTGATTGCTGAATATATGTGTGTGTATATATATATATATATATATATTTGTTCTCAAGGATTCAGAAATCATGAATAATCATACCACAAAACTGTAACAAGGTCCAGTGCTGGTGGCTCTCATCTATAATCCTAGCTACTCAAGAGGTTGAAATTTGAGGATCAAGATTCAAAGCCAGCCCAGGCAGGGAAGTTCATAAGTGTCTTATCTCCAATTATTCAGCAAAAAGCTGGAAGGGGAGTTGAGGCTGAAGTAATAAGCCACCACCCTTGATTGAAGATGCTAAGAAAGAATACAAGGGCCTGAGTTCAAGCCACAGTACAGATGACACCTTAATAAAACTCCAGAGAGCAGATCTGAAGTTCACATCTGAAGTGCAACCAAGTGGACGAGACTATTCAGACAGGAAGATCGCCAGCGACACAGAACGAGACATTCAAGGGGAGGTGAAGTTTTGCTTTAGAAACTGGAAATATAATGACAATGAAGAGAAGAGCAGCCAAGCATAGAATCTGGAACAATCCAAGTTGGCCAAAAACCAGGGGCTGCGGCCTGAAGATTAAATCAGGCAAACCTGGCTAATAACTTTCTATATTTGGCTACTAATATCTAAGATACATCTTTACAATAATATATCTTGTATATGTTATATATAACAGATGCATTTTGTCTCTCTGAGCCTGACTTCTCAGAACATGTTATATAAGACATACATTTTTTATATAATGCATATGTGATCTATATTATCTAATATATAAGATATATTGTGTGTAATATATTTAATAATATAATATATTATGTAAGTTATATATTATGTGTTAGTTATTGTACATAATTTATATATAAGATATATCTTACCTAGCTATTTATTTTATAATATCTTACTATGTGCCTATATTACCTGGTAATTTTCCAAAGATTCTAAAACTATTCTTATTTTGAAAGTACTAGACTAAATAAGCAGTCATTGTTTATAAAAAATTCAACCAAGTGAATACTATGTAATCAAACAATAGCTGCTCAGAGGGAGTTCCCCTGGATGGACTAACATTACAACTGTCCAAAGAGCAGAGAAAACAAGTTTATAAAATAAGGACCACTTAAAGCCAGTACAATGTCATTTTACTCATCCATCTATAAGAATTATATTATACCATTTTCAAGGAAATGGATGAACCTGGGAAAAAATTAAGTCAGGCCCAGAAAGACCAAGGACCATTTTTTTCTCATATGCAGAAGTTCAATCAAATTTATAAATATATGTAAACATATACAGGGCCATATGCATATATACACAAATGTATTAACTGAAGTGTGGTATGTGCAGAGGATTCCTTTGACCCACTATCTTATAATTGAACAAAATGAACACCAGGAAGCTGGGACTTGAGGTGTGTGGAGGGGTGAGGTGGGGCAGGGCAGACAAATGGAGAGAGGAAAGATGGAAGAATGCAGTACTAATATTCAGAATGCATATGTGAAAATGGAAGCAGGTAACTTGAGGGAGGGGTAGGGTGGGGAGAGATGGGGGAGAATGATGGAAAAGTGATATGGATCAAGATGCACTGTATTCAAAAACTGACAGGTGGAATTGAAACCCTTTGTAGAACTACTTAAAGGTAAAAAATTTTTAAAAAAAAAAGAAAGAAAGAAAAGCAGTTGATAAAGATGTCTGGGACCATCTACCATAGGCCTGAGGCTGGTCTGGCTAGGACAGGATGGAGAGGCTATGTACACAGACACAGACTACCTCAGACAGAAGCTAGCTACTCAGGAGGCCGAGATCTGAGGATCCAGGTTCAAAGTCAGCCCACGTAGGAAAGTCTGTGAGACTCTTATCTCCAATTAACCACCAGAAAACTGGAATTGGAGCTATGACTCAAGCTAGTCTTAGCTAGCATTAAGCTAGGGACAGCGCCCAGGCTGAGTTCAAGGCCCACAACCGATCAAACAAAATAAAAAAAACTATATCCAGATTACAAGTTACACAAATACCTGCCACCTAATTGGGATTTGAACATTGTCTGAGCCCCAGAGAAGTGCTCAGTGAGCTAATTTAACCTAATTATATAAGGCTTCATTAAATTCCAGCTCGTCAGTTCCATTTCCTTTAGGCTTTGCCCTTTCACATGACAGAACTTCTTTACTCATCAAGCTAATGCCTATCAACTGGCCAGGGCCTGAAAACTTACTACATTAACATAGTACACTTAGGTTAACGCTTCTTTTCACAATGTAATGGTTTATTAATTGAACACTCATCTTTAAAGATTCTTGTGACTGCAGAGCATGTTTACAGACACAGGAACTAAAATGCAATTTATCATTCTGTCAGTCTGAAAAATTCTGAAGCACTATTTCTAATGAAACAGCTAGCTACAAACTGAATTAATCTTTACGCTCAGCAAGAGGAAGAATATCCTAAATGACAAGGTGTGTGTGTGTGTGTGTGTGTGTGTGTGTGTGTGTGTGTGTGTGTGTGTGTGTGTGTGTGTGTGTGTGTGTG